CCAGCGCAAGCTGCAGCTGCAGCTCCTCCTCGCCCGTCGTCTGGGGCCTCGCTTGCTCCAGGTCAGAGGCAAACCGTGGGGATGAGGATGATGCTGGGAGATAACAGGGAAGAAGCAGCGTCAGGATCGGGGTATTTTGGGGAGCGCATCAGCAGCCTCCCCCAGGCCCCATCCCAACGCCCGCAGCTCCGCAGCATGGCTTCCCCAGGGGACGCAGCCCCACATTAGAGCTCCCTACCACAAATGAGCCATGGGTTTAAGGTTTGGGGCGCCGCCAGCTGGGGAGCGATGGGCACCAGGAGGGTGCAAACCAAATGCAACGCCTGCCTCCACCCCACAGCGAGCCCGAGCGAGCCGCCAGCCCTGCGAACGAGCCCCCAGGCCCCTGCCAGCAGCACTCACAGTTAAAGGAGGAAGGCGAGCCCCGCGCCCGGCCGTAGTCGTCACCGTAGGGCGATGCGCGGCGGCCATAGGCGACCTGGTGGCTGCCGCTGCCCATGCCCTCGAGGGCCATGCGCTCCTTGGTCTGCAGCGCGTGCGCCCGCTCTTGCTTCAGCCGCTCCTCGTCCTTCAGCAGTGCCATCACCTGCTTCACCTTCTCTCGGATGTTGATGCCCTGGTCCTTGCCGTCCCGGTCCACGTACTGGAAGTCCTTCAGCGTCTGGATGGTGTAGAGGTTCTCCCGGCATTGGTGGGTCACCTTCTCAGAGCCAGTTTTGATGAGGTAGTCCAGGAGGGTGAGGGCTTTGTAGACGTGACGCCAGTTCTTGCCACTGTCGTTCAGCCGCCGCCAGATCATGCCCATGACCTCGGCAAAGGCCACCGTGTTGAAGGTGAGGTCGGCGATCTCCGACATCAAGGAGCTGGGGGGTCCCCAGGGATCGTTGGAGGTGGCCTCCCGCACCTTGATCTCTGCCTCCGAGTAGTTGTGCACGATGTTTTTCACCTGCCGGCGCAGCGCCGAGGTCGTCATGGCTGTGCGGTGCCGGAGACCCGCCGGTGGCGGGCAGGAATGGTGGAGAAGGGATGGGTGCTCACGGCCACGGCCTCACTGGCGCCTGCAGCGGGGAATGGGGACACAAAGACCTCAGCACCGCCCCAAACCACTGAGACCCGTCCCCAGAGCCCCCGGCTGGATCCTGGGACACTTCTCGAGGTGGAAGTGCCCATCGTCAGGGCATCAGGTGCACTATGCCGGGCTGGGGCTG